AATCTCTAGATCGCACTTACTAAATCCCCATGGTGTTCTACCTCCGCCGCAAATTGGCAGGGCCACGGAAACGCTTTCATGCACATACGCGGCCCCTCTGGCGCCAGCCGCCCAATAGCAGCAAAGATAGTCGAGTGGCGCATCGCCAATCGCCATACCAACACTCCTCTTCCCTTACTACTCCACCTCAACTACAGCGGTACAGGGAGAGGAATCTCCTCTAGCAGCAGCCCACTAACACACATCAAACGTGGCTTGACGTCATCAGGCGAACTTTCGACACTTGGCCCTATGGCCCTTGAGTTTGGTGGAAAATTAGGAAAGAAGAAATAAAAAAAAACATTCTAAATAATTATCTAATACTTTTATACTTACTGGTACTGGTACTACCACAAAATATTGTCGGTATACTGCACTTTTTCAAAGTGGTGCAGTTCTCATGTCTAATAAAACAGTCACCTGTGAAATGTTTGGACCAAATATGATCATTTTGTTTCGGACGCCAATTCACAATATTTATGCTTTTAAGCCATAATTTTAGTAGGTTCAGTTGGAAACCTGTTAATTAATAAACATTGGTAATTGATAATCATCTGTTATTGGCGACTTTGTTTATTAACAGATATTGGTAGGAAAGAACATCGATAAGTATTATAGACAAGGAACTCGACAACCCTATTGAATTTTATTGTTTATCAAAACTCAGTAATATACAGCCAAACATTTTGGTATAAATGATATTAAGATTAGTAACAATTTTTTAAGTACTTATATTATCAAATAGTTTTAATTTGTTTAATATTTGCTGCAAATTCACTTACTTGTGAAATGTTACAACACTTCCCTTTTGGTAACGAGTTTTACAGATTACGCACACTCTCATTATTAATAAAAGTAAATCTTATTATGTAACTAATATTATACACAATCAAAAAACATAAAATACTTTCGTTTTTTAGTTTAAAAGTTCAAAATACAGATTTTTTAAATATGACAATATAAATAAGACAACAGACTTTGGCATATTATGTCAATTTTATTTTTCAAGACATCCTTTACCGGCGCTTCAAATTGGCACAGTCATTTTGTATGGTATAGCCAGTCCAGCGTACTTGTATATTTAGAGGTCAGTGGATGGTATTCATGAATTAAATTAACACAAACGCAAATGCTGTAGTGTGCGTGTATAGTGACGTGATTTAATTTTGCATTTGTAGTGAAGTATAGAGTAGTGTGTTTTTCTCTCCTCCCTCTGAAATTGACAGACTTTTTGTTAAGAAATTAACGCGCATGGCCTCTCCAGTTGGTTTAATACTCAAAGGCCGCTGGGTATAGTTGAGGAATTATACCTTGTTATAGACGGAGTCACGTGAACCGTCAATATTAAAATGCAAAAATGTTTTTATATGCGAACCGTCGTTCGTTTATGTCCTTTATCGCTTCAATAAATTTTTGCGGCCTTTTATTGATTATGTTTATTAACTGCCTTTTTTATTAGTAAGTTTTTTTACATTAATTACATACCTATTATATATTTTATGCTTTTTTAAGGTAAGCCTTCAGCTCGGGCGACATGTTAACGCCGTTTTCGCACATATTTAAAAATTGACAGATAACACCAATCATGTCAGAGTATCGTCATATAATTATGTTCATTATTTATGATGCCTTTTCCACACCTCATCTCAAAGAGTTGGTGAAAAGATATAGCAGGCGCTGCAATTAAGATCGTTCGAACGATCGTTGTGTTTTACATGGAATCCGTGTAAAAGACAACAATCGTTTTTTTCAATTCGTTTTCGGATCAGTTGCGATGTGAAATTTATCCAGCCCCGCGTAAATGTGAAATGTTTATTTAAAATATACATTTCATATATTCGAAAACTGTTGTCGGGTGAATGGTGCAAGTAAGAGAAAAGATCAGCAGCCGCAAGAAAGAGAGCTGAGCTATCGGGCAAGTCACTGCTATCTTTTTTATTACAATCTTACGTTAAGGTGAAAAATCTCTTAACGTCAACAAAAATGTACAAAACTGTAATGCTTAATATGTTAAGATTTTTGAAGCAAAACATCTGCAAGACAATTTGTAAAATCAATAACGACACGATGCCTGCGGCGACAACCCGTGAAATCACGAATATAAAGAGCTCCCGTGAGACAAATCTCTCCCTTTCGCAAATAGCGTCAAAGCATTTGAACACCCAATCCAGAGCTTGAAATTGTCGTCATGATTGTACCAAGCCACTTCTCTCATGTCAAACGTTATGTATATAGCGATGTTTTTTGTAAATATTATCTTTACTTTTACTTTAATAAAATAAACAAGTTGTTTGTTTGTATGTAAATGCAATTGCTGGAGGTAATGTCTAAATCAGATGATCCAATTCTGTAAAAAAAATATTAAAAACAACACGATTACAGAGTGACATACGCGATGTTTTCAGCCCATAACAAGACCACTGCTGAACGTAGGTTTCTTCCAAGAAATGTCACAAAACACGATCCCGAAATATCTGCATCCATCGACCTCTCGTATGTCTTACCATATCACCACGACATCTAGCGGGGGCGCCCTACACTTAGCTAACCGGTACGCGGCTGCCACTCGATAAACTTTCTTCTTAATTGTATGTCAGTTCTTCTCATACGTACGTTCGTACGTTCTTCGTACATGGCCGGCTCACTACCACTTCTGCTTACTGATCCATCAAGCAATGTCGATTACTCTGGATCTGCTGCCTTTATGGTAATTACAGGAGGGAATAGTCAGTGACTTACCCGATAGCTCAGCTCTTTTCCGTGCGGCTACTGGTCTTTTCTCATGCTTGCACCATTCACTTGAAAATAGTTTTCTAAATAAATTTTATATGAACATTTTATATTTGTGCGGGGCTGGATAAATTTAACAGCGTGGATTAATAACAGGTGGTGTCCGATGTTACTCGTAACTGATCTGAAACCGAATTGAAAAAAAAAAACAGTCGTTGTCTTTTACATCGAATCTCTTAATTGCAGCGCCTGCTATCTCTTTTCACCAACTCTTTGGTATAAGGAGTGGGAAAGGGAAGATAAATAATGAAGATATAATCAATAGAGGTACGCAGAAAATTTATTGAAGCGGTAAAGGACATAAATGAACAACAGGTCGCATATAATAACCTTTTTGCATTTTAATTTTGACGGTTCGCGTGACTCAGTCTGTAACAAGGTATAATTCCTCAACTATCGCTAGTGGCCAATTGAGTGGCGGGGAATCATCTTCACGATCAGTAATAATACACCACTTTTGAATAGTATGATATTGTGAATTCCATTTTTGTCGTTAAGTATTCTAGAATCCACCGAAACCAATACGACTGGATTATTTTTTCAAGCAGCAGATATCTGCTTAAATTGTTTTCGGGAACATGTCCATAATCTTCTGCGGTTATATATTTCAAGAGCACAATATTTAAAAAGTTCGCGGGAGTTCAGCAGTAGGCTCAGGAGGATCAGAACTAAGCACGCAATGTAGGCGACTGTTCAGTATGCCCCCGACTTGCATGAGAACTGTGTTGAGTTCTCCATGAGTACACTTGCTTCTCTACTACTCTATACAACATGAAATGACATAACATTGTAGCCTGGAGGTACAAATACTTAAAAGTTTTGAGACAAATTCGTAAAGAAGGCTTACTTATTATGTATCTTGATGCAACGTATTCACGCTTCATGCTCTGTGAAAAAAATTTGGCAAACGGATAATCAAGAAGTCATTTTAAAGAGTGATTCAGTTAATGAATTCTGAATTATTGTTCATGCAGGTATTGAAATGCGTTTTATACCAAATGCGCAATTGATATTTAAATCAGGGTCAAAGTCGGGTGACTACCATGATGACACGAACAGATCAAAATTTATGAATTGGTTACAAGCTTGTACCTAATTTACTGCCTAAGATTTAATAGTGATGGATAATACGCACTATATGTAAAGGTGAATAAGGCACCAACATTGAGTTCTATCGAAGCTGATATGAAAAATTTGATTACAAATAGGGGCTATTTTATAAGCCAAAAGGCACTATGCTGAAAGCTCAATTATACAAAATATAAAATAGCTCTAAGCAACAAATCCGCAGCTCGTTATGACTTTGTTTAAAGTCAGTGTTCTTACCGGCCTTTCGGGAACTGCCTTAAGCCTTTTCCAGCTTGATAAGTAGTAACGTGGCTAAGTTAAGCAAGCAACCGAATCCATTCGAATCATATTTGAAAGGGGTCTAATTGTGTATCGGCTCACAGCGTCGCGTATGAGTATCTGTGAAATACGTTCGCATTCCGTATCGTCGGGAATTAAATGTCTTATCACAGGTACACTTTCGAGTTTCCAAAACCTTTGCGTTAATTTTTCTAAGGTAGGTTGGGTGGACACCTGCAAACACTGATTAGTATAAATTTGCTTGACGGTTTTTGTGCAAAGAAGTAAAGTCTATGTTCGCGAGTCCCATGACAACATAACCTAGCGCAATTATGATACCCACCGAAGAAGAATAAGTGGATAAGATTTTACGACTGCTGAATATGAACGGAAACAGCTCGTCGCTAATTAGAAAGTCAGCATTAGCAGAGATATGAAAGTCTTCATCCGCTTGGGGTAGTTACGTAAGTGTTCCAAATCATCTCTTATGGTGCGTGTAGCTAGATCCTCGTATGACATAGTTCCGATGACACTCGCCTTAATCATGTACTTACACCGAGAGTCAAAAAGAGAGAATAAAGTAAATCAGCGATACCTAAACAAGATTTGGGAGTTCGACCTTAACCGAAATAATAAGCAGGTACGCACCTGCTTATTGTTAAGCCATAAATTTAAGCGATAACAACATTCCTTTTAAAAAAAAAAATACGACATAAACGCGCTGTCTAATAATACGCTAACTTTAATGCGTTCTCCACAGGTATTATACGAATAAATTTAGCGGTAGGCAAAATTACGAAAAAATAAAATTATTACGAGCGGGTATGGTCAACGTGACGTTTTTAGCACATGACGATTGCAGTCTGCTTTCAGCCGCACCCGTGACGCAACCCACTCCCTCTGCGGCAGATTTGATATTGTGTACGGCTGTAACCGTGGACGCGGTGAAGCTCGGCAATGGGGATGGCGGCAGCGAGATCTGCAGTTTAGGAGGCGTATGTGATCTGGCTCCGTTACTCACAGCTAGCGCCGGCGATGTGGTCGCGGGTTGAAAATGGGCGAATCTAATTGTAACTTTGGATGGCGCATGCGGTTGAAAATATTACAGCGGTATAAGGTCTAACTTCACCGAATGAAATCCCAAACAGTTAATATTTTATACGTAGTAAATACATAGTTTCTGACTTCGAACAAAATCGTTACTACTACTGCTATTTATGGCTTAATAACTATTTTTAAAAATTGCATATACTTAATGTAATTTTTAGTAGAAATAATAACATATTTGTACGATTATAAAATAACTTATACTATACTTAACGAATACTTTAACGATATTGGGTAATGTCAAAATTGCACGCATCGTGAGCGTTTCATTTAATTTGATGAAAAAAATAAATTGTATTCCTGACTTTCAAAATATATTATTTATATATTTTAAATTTAGCGCTCTATTATTTTAACAGTTAACAGGTAGTGTCATCTACAGGGAATAATATTAATAATGCTTACCAAAATAAGTCGATTACACAAACTATAAAATCGATATAGGTATAGGTTGTATAGTACATTTGTCCCTTTTCTATAAGGGGCTAGAAAATATGAAATCTCCTTTAAATGTTTTAACAATTTTGTTAACAAATTACATGTATTGCTATTGATCCCCCCCGAACGGGTTCCCGCCTTGTCGTGGCGGGGGGCTTAGAAGCCGTGGCTTGGTCACCCACGGCGAAACAAAGAGGAACCCATATGGCTGGTCCGAGGTGGAGGGCCGGCCCGAGGTGGCCACTCCGAGTGGGCTTGGGAAGCCCACTTCGGATGTGTGTTGGTGGGCTGCGGTGAGAGGTGTGTCCTCCCCACCTACCGCTGCAGCCGAGGTGGAGTCGCGGAGGAAAAGGAGTGTTGGTATGGCGATGCGCCACTCGCCCTATCCTCCGCGACTCAAACGGGGCCGCACCGTTGATGCGGTGGTGATGGGGCTGCGGGGGGAGAGGATTGTCGGTATTGCGAGGCGCCGCTCTCCCTATCCTCCGCAGCCGAATCTTGGTTGGCGGCGGAGCAATAGACCAGATCCGCCGCTGGGGTCGGGAAGGCTAGTACTTCTAAGTGCTCGTTTTTCCTGGCCCCATGGCCTTCGCGCATCGGACGCGGGGGCGTCTGTTGCGCAGATGTAATTGGAGGCCGTGGAGGAAGGCGTGCCATGTGTTCTGGTGCACCTTACTTGGAAAGGAGAACGGGGAGGAATATTCCTCTCCCGATGAGGTGCTGCCATGGTGCGGCAGTCGCTGGTGGGGCCGCGGATGTGTGCGAAAGCGTTCCCGTAGCCCTGCCAATATGCGACGAAGGTGGAACACCATGGGGTTTTAGTCGGTGCGAGTCCGACATAACCCGTCCTTGCCCCCCGCGAGGCGGGTATGCGTAGGCATTTCCCCATGTTAAAAAAAAAAGGCTATTGATATGAAATAGGAAACCAGGCAATACGTAATTTTTTTCTGGACACAAAATCCACATCCAGACGTCCACGTATCTTTTTCAAAACTGTTTTGTTCAAAGTAACAATAAAAAATATTTTTTTTTAGAAAATATAAGATGGATTAATATAAGTGTTTCCTTGCCACACGGTTATTTATATCATCGTATAAGTGCAATGTGGCTATGATAGAGACATTTTAAGAACACAAAATTGCTTTACCTTGATGTGTCGAGAGTTAAGCACTATCTGCTTATTACGGGTGCAGTAAATAATTTTGCGTACTACAACTGGACAAGAAAAGAGGGTTTCCCTGTTTAATTAGTCGTTACAAAAATATGTAGAGCCATAGAGAGAGATTAAGTCAAAGTCCAAAGCATTAAAAAGTAACTATGTAGCCTAAGTAAACCCTACTGCTGGGCTACAGACTTTATTTCATTGTTGAGAGAAGTTTAGGGTAGGATTTTACAGAGACTACCGCGCTACTCCAATACGTGTTGGCAGACATCACTATATTTCTATATTTTTTATTCCTTACATATGGTATTTCCACGATATTTTGCTTCACTGCCACGTGGCAATAATGCGCGAGGGGGATGGCGAGCGGGAATCGATCTCAGTTTGTTCGCGTACTGTCAAACTTACGGCGCGTGCCTAATTTAATACGTACATGACCATTTGAAACATAATAATAAAACATCACACACCAGACCTAAAACACTAAGGTCGACGGTGTCTAGCAGTTTAAAAATTTAATTAATTTGTTTGTCTTTAATTAATATAGTTATTAAAATACTGTTAACTTGTATCGAACTTTATTCCACCAAAGCCGTCCCATCTTCAGTTTTGCTACCTACACCCGATAATGCATTCAATTATATAAGATAAAAATTAATAATACCTTATATCGTACTGTTAGGACATTGCGTAATTACTAAAATCTGCTGCAATTTCGGAGTCGAGGCATGGTCAGGGCGCGACTGACACATAATTTAACATCTTAATTGACTGTCTCACTGGTCTACTGGTCATAACGCAACTGCTGATCGCACTGGATCATGCAGTCCAGTGTCCGATTTACGGGCCTGACAAAAATTAATTATTGTTATTGGTTGGTTATTATCAGTTACTGGGTTGTTTAAGAAGAAGTCAGGAGTATGGAAGTTGGCAGTTTTTACTACCAAGCACCAAAAGTTGTTGGTCCTGCGCCTGATCTGTCTCCGGTCGTGTCAAATTTCTATCTTATCCGACTAAGTCACTACCGTGTAGCACGATTTACATCACAAGAGTTCCCATTAAACCCTATCGCCACAGTATAAATATGTAATCGTTCCGTAGGTGTCGTAAGAGGCGATAGATGAAAATGAAACAAGAAATGGGCAACGGCATCCTCGTAATAACACCTAAGAAAGATAAAAACTGTGGTTGGTGCTGCCAATCCACTAGCCATGCATGTCAACTATACCGTATAACCCCTATGATGCGATCTATGGATGAGGCCTCGGTGGACTATTAATAAGCTGTTATAGTATGGTATGGAAGGAACTATGACAGCGATGAGTTGAGACCACCTGTGCTTGCGTTAACACTACGTGACACATAATCGTAGTGCTAAATGTTGGACGGCTTCTTGCAACACGGCGCTTGCTAATTTAGTCTGTCACTCGATAAACCTTTCTCCTCTTACTCAAAATGACTCTTCTATCTTACATGACTCTAGATTTGATTGTTAGACGACTCAAATTCGACCCTTTGCGTCTTGCTGGCATTGTTGACTGTACATAGAAATTAATATGAAATACTCATAGGTGATAAAATAGTAACTTAATAGTGTATTCGATTGCTTATTTATTTGACTTACGTACCTTTCCCAATAATAAAACACGTATATTTATTAAACATGTATACGTTCCTGTTTTGACTTAAAACTATTTCAAAATTTTTATTAAAATAAAATATTAATTTAATTCACTGTCAAAAAAATAAAAATAAAATATTTAGGGGTAGTTCACCCTTATCATTTACAGGTATTAATAATAGATGTTGGCTGATTCTCAGACCTACCCGATATGCACACAAAATTTTATACAAATCGGTTCAGCCGTTGCGGAGGAGTTTGGTATATTTACAATGTTTAAGTAACATAAATAAATTAAACACACACACACACACACACACACACACACACACACACACACACACACACCCACACACGCGCACGCACACGCACACGCACACGCACACGCACACGCACACGCACACGCGCACGCGCGCACGCGCACGCGCACGCGCACGCGCAGGCGCACACGCACGCACACGCACACGCACACGCACACGCACACGCACACGCACACGCACACGCACATGCACATGCACACGCACACGCACACGCACCCGCACCCGCACCCGCACACGCACACGCACGTGTGTTGTGTGGTGTGTGTGTGTGTGTGTGTGTGTGTGTGTGTGTGTGTGTGTGTGTGTGTACTAAACTCCTCCGAAACAGCTGAACCGATTTGTATAAAATTTTGTGTGCATAATACTTATATATAAGGATAATTTTCCCTATGAAAGAATATCTGTATCTTAAAACTTCATACACAAACATATAAAAGTAAAGTAAAGTTACAGCCTATATACGTCCCACTGCTGGGCAGAGGCCTCCCCTCATTTCTGAGAGGATTTTTAGGGCACGGAAGTGTCCGCCGCGCTGCCCCAATGCGTGTTGGCGAACTTCACATGTCTTCGAAATATTTTTTTTCTTATTCCTCAGACATGCAGGTTTCCTCACGATGTTTTCCTTCACCGCCGAGCACGTGGTAAATCAGCACTTAAAATTGAAATTAACAATTTTATTGGTGCCGGCGGGGAATGAACCCGGGTTACTCGCGTTCTGTTATATTTACAGCGAGCGTTAACCATCTGAGCTACCACTGCTCTACACAAACATATACAACATATAAAATGCGATATAATACAAGAATATAAAGTTCCCTTTTTACCGTTATTTTCACAGTGTTTGAATATTTTGCCGTCCAAAATTCGAAAACATTGCGACGTTTGTATGTGAACGACATGGTGAGCTCGAAAAGCAATTAAATTGGGTGTATAAGAACAACTTGCATAGCCGAAGTTTCTAAACTTTCAAACTAGCGAGAGCAAAGTTTACTCCTCGGTATTTGTGTACTTTCACATTTTAACGCCACAGAAAACTAAGTTTAAAGTTCGGTCCCTTGATTTTGAACTTTCGCACATGCCTTCATAAGTTAAAGTTAAGTTTCTTTGCAAAGGAAGAATTTTTGTTTTTGTACGCTATTAATGTGTTTTTATTTTTATTAGTTTTGAGATTAAAAGCTAGCTACATTTTTCCAGCATTTTTGTTGGCTAATGATATAAAAACTTAAGATTGAGTTTAGAGTACGATTAAGAAGATCAAGGTTTCTAACTAGCGTCGAATTCAGGTTTCAGGTGTAATAAAAAAGAGTACATCCATCATAGTCTTACCATGGTTAGTTTTGCACTTTACTATGAGATATTTGTAATATTTGTATTTAATTAATTTTATATATCTACGGACTAGTG